TATCTATTTGAGTGTGTAAATCTCACGAGCGTGAAATGATATATTTGACCACAAAAGGGTTGGGTTGGAGCCAATTTAGATAATGATTGAAAGTGACTATNATGATATATTTGACCACAAAAGGGTTGGGTTGGAGCCAATTTAGATAATGAGTGAAAGTGACTTTGCACCCACACACTGATCTAATATTGGATAAGTTTAATTTATTTTTGGTAGCAACATTTGGAGCATGGTTATGAATTGATATACAATTTTAAAACTCTTTGATATCTTTTGCAAGGTGTATAATATGTTGATCATTATCGCATTTGCATTATTGTGTTAGAAATTAATCTTGCTCGAGACGAGCAATAACTCAAGTTTGGGGGTGTGATAAGTGTGTTTTTACACACTTATTAGGCACTTTTCGGAGCTAATTATAATTGAAATTGAGTGGATTTCTATTTATAATTGTATAATTTTCACTTTTGTAGGCAAAAACCCCGACAAGAAAGAAAATGAAGAAAAAAGGACTTAAAGCGTACAAAATTGTGAAGTTGGGGACCAATGTGCACAAGCCAGAAAGTTGGAGGACATGGAGTGAAATTTATCTTTCTTGGGTCAAAGTTAGATTTAACTAAGCTTACTTCTTAGTTAAGTTATAGCTTTTGCATTATTTTTGATTAGTTACTTGATAGATATTTTGGGATATTTTATTTTGTCTATGATAAGATCCCTCACTCACTTCCATCACCATATTATCTCTCTCCCTCTCCCTTGCACGTTTTTTCCTTTATCCTTCCATTTTCTTTCTTTTATCTAGTTTTGGCTCATTTTGGAAAACAATTCCATAACAACAAAGGAGATCATATCAAAGAAAGTTGGAAAAACCATTGGTGAAGTTCAAAGCTACACTAAAAAGGGTTGTATCTTTATTTTTGCATTCCTTCAATTTATTTTTCAATGTTTATAATGTATTGTAATATGAATCTCCTTTGTTGTTATTTGTCTATGATGAGCTAAGTATTTTGTGTTGGAATTTATATAGTAACTTAACCTAGTTTCATTAATATCATAGCATGTATTGAATGATGAATTTGTTATCAAAAGCATGGTGTATTAATTATTATGTTTGATAGTACCTCATTTATTTGGCCAATAGATGATGTGGTAAGGTAGTTTGTTGAGAAATTGTTGTACTAACTAGACCGAAATGATTAATACCCTAGATTTGCATTAGTATATCTATTGCGCATTTAGGTCATATAAAAATATACACCTACTCTAGGTGACC